GCCTGTCTCCTTTTCACTTTATTCTATCATTGTTTCTTTTATTTATCGTCCTTTGGTTTAAGATTAGTTTTCTCTTTGTCTAAAGCTTTATTTATTATCTCAAACTAAGCTTATATGTTCTAAAGATAATCCATTTCCTGTTATTCGGCTAAACACCTGAAATTTTGTGTCCCAAATATTCTCTGTTATGTGTTCTAAAGATATATGTTCTAAAGATATTCTCTGTTATATGTTCTAAAGATATATGTTCCAAAAATCCGAAAATTCGCATCATTCCTGTTATATGTTCTAAAGATATTCTCTGTTAGAAGCTTAATGGTGATGAGTGATTTTATACTTATTTTTCTTCAATCATCAGTTCAGCTAACTTATCATTTACTACCTCATTCAAATTACTATTTCTTTTACGACAGAGGATAAGGAGGTTTTTTCATATAATTTAAATATTTAGTTAGAATACCTCAAATGATCTCTCTTTTGATCGAATCATATCTCACTTTATTTTGCTAGATAATATAGAAAATTATCCTCTTTGTGGGAGCTCTTATTTCAATTTATTGACACAGTGAAATGTTCAATTCTGGATTTGGTTCTCACACACCGCTTCTTCTTGGCCAAGCGAAAGTTGTGCGCTACTTTCCAAATTATCAAAGGTATTGTTAGATATTTAATTTTTTCGAAACCTGTATTTTGGCGCCTAATGGTTTTACTTTTCTATGTGCATAAATCTGCAGGACACTTGACATGGCGAAGTCCATAATAATGGAGACAAAGTATGCGAATAATTCAGAGGATAAGATTATTGAACTCTCTGAACCTGAGAAATTACAAAAGGTGACTTCTCTTATAGTCTATCACATCTGTTGCATTTCAGCTCCTTGTGCAGCTTGATTTTTCTATATAAAGGGAAATTTCTGACAGCTAAGAATCCTACAGATAATAAATGCAAAGTCATGTTCTGACCTGTACGATTGTATTGGAGAGAACTTTTGGGTAGCTACTACTTGCGAGAGCACTGCATTTGAGGGGTAATTGTCTATTATAGTTTCTAAATCATTTTCAATTACATGTGTTCATGAGATCTGCAACAAACTTCTTTTGAGAAAGGGATAATTGTACACACGTTAACATTTCCTTTATTCTTTGGTTGAAGATTGGTTGCATGTACGAGAAGGCGTCTGGAGGGAACAAGAATTACTGTTCAGAAAGTGTAATAGCCTTTGATAAACCTTCTCCCTAATGCAGAAATATTTCTTAATTGTCATGTTATATACTGGCCTGCAGGGACAACAGGGGATTTGACTTTGCAATTAGAACACCTTGTACACCATCTAGATGGAATGAGTATGATGCAGAAATGACTATTGCATGGGAGGTATGCTGAAATATAGTCCAATTTTAGGTGTTACCTTTGCCGCACATTTTTATTGCTTTGACTTGCACAGTTTTGGTTTGTTAGTATCCTGTGTTACCATGTCTATTATACCTTCTGGTTCCTGGTATTGATACAAGAATGGGGTATCATACTTTGGATTGTATATTGAATGAAGAGGCTAGGTTTACTCGGGTCAGCATTCAAGATCTCGGTAGTCATGAGAGAATTTTTCTGGGACATTTGATAACTTTGTATGAATTGGATGTGTGTGATATGTGTTTGTGTGTGCGCACCTGTGCTCATCTGTGTCACAATCATAGCTACAAGCAAAAGAATTGTAAAATTAAGGTTGGATGATTTTATTAGCCTGCATCTTTGGATTCAAAATAGAGCGGAAAAAATTCACCTACTTCATAGAAGAAAGCCTCATTATGTAATGAAATTGATGATTCCAAATTGAACTCTAGCTTCTGAAGCTACTAATGCAATCTAAATATTGAAAAGTGCAGTAAGTCTTAACATGGAAGCTCTGTTACTCTGATCAGAATGTGTCATAGTTACTCAAAAGTCAGTCATTACTATTCCAGTAGGACTTGGTATTAATTAGGAATCGTTTATAAAATCTATTATTTAATTTAAGCTGGACAGTTCGTTATTCAACTTTGACACTTATTTTGTTCTAACTGGAACTTGATTTCCTATTGATTTCTAATTTGCTTGTTGATTTGGAGGACAATATTTCAGCATCTCTATCATCCATCGAGCATGGAGCTCCATAAAAATATGAGCATTTATACATTTATTGACAACTATTATGATGTCATCCGTTCAATTAATGTGGAATTCCTTATTATCCACATAGTATAAGTAAGATTGTTATTGAGTAGGATGAACTACCATAATTGCTATGCTATAGCAGGTCATATGACCTAAAGAAATCTCAAAAACTAAGAAATTAGAGACGATTCTTTTTCTCTTTCTTTGTTCTTGTTCTTGCTCCAGCGTGTGTAAAAGATTATGCATTTTCTATACAGTATTGCGTGCAACTCTAATGCATTGCAAAAGGGAAAGGGTCAAAAAGATGACATCCCAGGGATGTAGACAGTGTGCGAGTTCGAATTACAAGGTTTTTTGCATGCAGAATTTTCTATTGACAAGATGGGAGTTTGCTTATATTCAACACATGTAAACAGTTTTGCTCTAAGCATTTTCTTGTAATAAATTTGATGGTCCGGCGCCTAGGCGAGGCCCTGCGCCTAGGCCCCTTTCCGTTAGGGGACCATGACCAAACCTTGACCCTAGTTTGGTCCAAATCTACCCCCTCCTTTGGGAGAGGAAAGAGAGTGGGAACCCATGATTTTATTCGAGGAAGAATAGGGAAGACTAATTTATTGGTTCCTTGGAAGAATAAGATGATGAAGAATGGAAAGGGAAGAAGGGGTAGATAGTAATCTTACCCTCGTACCGTTAGATTTCAAACATAAGTTAGTTGGCGGATATAGTTGGGTCTGCTAGTTATTTGTCCGTTATGTTTTCCATATTGATAATACAGGATGAAGGATAATGGTTAAGTAGGTAATTGATGGTTACAAGTACAGAGTTGGTTTATGAATATGACAATCATATCTGATATAAAAAATATAATTGTTACTAATTCAATGTACCTAATTCCCTTAGTCCCTCCCTCCCTCTCCCCGTGTTTAACTTTGTACATTAGTCCTGAATTTTCAGGGTTCTGCATGCCATAATCATAAAGTACTGTATGCCTTATCCTATCAGTGTGATGTTGCAATGAGCATGGATTTTATTAAGATATCGTTGAAGAGGTTAATGTGTCACTAGGTTTTGGATTTTTAAGGGGCTTAGCTGCTTAATGCATGCTTGTCAGGCGGAAAATAATGGAAAGTGAACAAAAAATTGGATAGTTTCTCCACTTTTCATTCTCTTCTCTGTTTGGCTACTTGGTAAGTGAATGAAATATAAAGGCTAAATATCAGAAAACCCCCTTAAGTTTGGCCATTTATCAGAAAACCTCCCTTAAGTTTAGAAATATCAAATAACCTCCCTTAAATTTGCGTTCTATCAGAAACGCCCTTAGGTTTGAGAATTTTCCAACCCTCTAATCATGTTACATAAAGCGGTAAAATGTGAATAGCTTCTATTTTGAGGGGTAAGTTTGCAAATACTAAGATTTGGGGGGTAAATTTTACAAATACCCATGATTTAAGGGGTTTATATACAAATAACCCATAATTAATTCTAATCCCTTTTTGTGTGTGAATATCTTCTATTTTGTCATTTACATGGGTCAATGCATCTGTATCGACAAGGATGCTCGTAATATGGTTTCTTTGATTTGCCTCTTGACTCGTTATTCTGCAGACATTGTGCAATGCTTATTGCGGTGAAGCATACGGCTCGATCAACCTAAGCAATCTTGAGAAGGTGAAGGATGCAATCCTGAGAATGACATACTACTGGTAAACAGTTGAGACCACTGTTGATGATTGAGCTTGATTATAGTTTTGTATTTTATGTGCTTGTAGTACATAAATAAATAACTTTACAGGTACAACTTTATGCCGCTTGCAAGGGGAACAGCAATTGTTGGTTATACTGTTCTTCTCGGGCTATTTCTTGCAACTAACATAGAGGTGGCAGGGAACATTCCCGAAGGAACTCAGGTTGATTGGGATGCCATTTTGTCTCCTGCTCCTGACAATTTCCTGGACTCTGTAAAATCTTGGCTCTATCCTTTGCTAAGAATCAGCACATCGTGGAAAGATTATCCAGATGTGGCTTCAACGTTTAACACTACTGGATCAGTTATTGCTGCATTGAGTTCTCATGATACCTAAGGTGTGCTTACCATCAGTTTGCTATTATGTATTTTCTAGGGGTTAATTGCAATACATCCCCTGTACTGTAATTATGATTAGATCCCTTAAGTTATATCATTGCAGATAGACCCCCTGTACTATCGCCCAATAACTGATAGAAGTCCTGCTTGGAAATTTTTTTTTTACTCTTTAACTGCAGGAGGTCTGTCCCGTCTGTCAAAAAACAGTTTTCTCCTGAGGTAAAAAAGTCAAAAAAGTCACTCAAGGGGTCTATCTTCAACAATATAAGACTACAGGGAATCCATCTGGAATTGGGAGATAGTACAGGGGTTCTATCAGCAATTGACTGCATTTTCCATTTCTTCAATTTTATTTGGTCAGTTTGAGTACTGAATTCTTGTTCTGCGTTCTTATGCAGTATACAATCTCCTTGCAGCTGTTACAGTGAATTCAGATACAAATTGGAGCAGTAAGATGTGCTCCAGGCGTAATATAGGCAAGATATAGTTACTTTTGACCTAATTTTACATACATAGAATAGTAGTTCCCAGTCTTATGGGAAATGTACCCAAAAAGATTAGAACATTAAATACAATTTGCTTCCAAAACTAGCTTGTAGCGCAGCTCAATGTAACGTATAGTTCATATGAATGACAGCTCTCTCTCTCTCTCTCTCTCTCTCTCGTGTGAATCCGATGCTCTTTGTTGTCCAGTTCACTGCATTCCTCTTAGCCAACTAAATGTTAATCACACACGCTCCAGGTATTATCATTGTCTGAACTTACTATCCATGTAGTTTCATTGTATAGAATAGATCCTCTTGGATAAGTTCTTTTGACTACTTTACCCCTAGTGAAATTTTGGCGGATATTGCCTCTAGGTGGAACTAGTGAGCCTATTCGGGGGTAAAATAGTCAAAATAATCTTGGGGTTTATCTGCAACAATGAAACTACATAGGTAGTAAGTTCAAAGCAGTCGATATTGCAAGGGGGACCTCTGTGCAATTTAGCCGTTATTTATTTCTTGTGACTACTCAATATCATCACAAGAGAATTAATGATGGGCAGATGAGCGTATCTAGCGTGAGGCTGGCATGTGAGATTTGTTTCTACGCCTATTTGCTCGTGTTGATATATATTTTTAACTTCTTTATTATTATTATTTTAAGTCACTGGTGTCTGTTATATCTCTCCATCAAACGTCGGTGGGGACGAAGAAGATTATTCTTTGGTATTTTCTGTAGACGCATATCTTATTTTTCTGTGGAATATCTCCGAACTATGCTTGGTTTCTATCATACTGCACCTCCGAAATAGCATTATAAGGCTAAGCGATCCTGAGGATAAGGCTTCCTCGTACTTAGCTTGATCAAACTCTATGACGAGAGTTTCTATTGTCGTTCCCATGAGGTGGACGTCGGACTGCGCCACCACTTCTTCGTCAGAAAAGCTATTCCCCAGCGGAGTCGCCATCTTTTGTTTGTGGAAAAAATTGCAATGAAAAGAATAAAGAAAATTGACTTGTATTTTTTTGATTCCGATTACAACTTGATTACAAAAGAGAAGAGAACGAATTTGATTCTCTTCTTTGTTTAAAGTTGGGTTCTTCTCCGTAGCGATGGAATGCCTCTTTCGATTGCTCGCGTCGAATTTGCTCTCCGTTGACGATCCGACCGTCTCTTATCTCGTGGGAATGATGAACTTCTGTGGAAAATTTGATGTTTAACTCTGAATGAGTTTAAGAACTCTGAACGAGTTAGAACTCTGTGAATAGAGTTGTTAGAACCGAAAATTCAGTTAATGATCAAGCTGTTATTCTGTTGTCGAAGAATCCTCTCAGATTTGATCTTCTGAGTTTGATTCAAAAATCCTATCTTCAAGGATTTCGCTACTGCTGTTGAATCGCCGAACCTGAGTGGTTGAGGTCTTCTAAATCTGATCTTTGCTAATCCTTCTCTTTTCAAAGAGCCAGCCGCCAGCCCTTATCTGTTTTAGAACTCAAAAATCTCCAACCTGTATGGTTTAGATCTTTAGCATCCAACCTGTGTAGTTCAGATGCCAAAAATCCAACCCTTTGCTCTGTTGGGTTCGTGGGGGATAGGAGGTTGTAACTGACCCCTATATCCGCTCCTACGTGGGCGAAAATCCCTCAGAACGTGGGATAAACGGTTCTGAAACCGTTCGACTCATGTTTGAACGAGTCAAACGCCCAATCTGGCGTTTAGCACCCAACTTCGCCTCTTAGAATTGAGACGCAAGGTTGGGTGTTAGCTGCACATCATTGAACACGAGGGTCGCTCGCGTTTTGGCTTGTTGCCTGCTTGGAAATGCGGGGGTCGGTGTTGGTTGGACCCCTACGAACGCGAGGGTCGCTCACGTTCAGCTTGTATCTTGGAGACGCGGGGGTGGCCTGCACTTCCCAAGTTGTAACGCGGGGATGACATCCGCGTTTCAGAAGGAGCTTTTTGACTTGTAACTTCTTCTGTGAAGCGTTGCGAGGACCGTTGTTCAGTAATCCTGGCTTTAGCTGTTGTAGGGTATGAAAGTCGTCAGATTGTAACTTTCACCGTAGATTGTGAAGACTGCTGAATAGAGTTTTCATCAGTTGTCGGAAGTGTCGTTGAATTGTAACTCTTCTCGATCTTATGTGAAAAGTCCTCTATTTGCCGCTTTCGATTGTCGACCCGAAAGCTATTTGATTATAGCTTTCATTGTGAGAGCTTGACGGGAATCAACATCCATAGTGTCTTGAAGACGAATATTTGCCCACAGCTCTCTACCAAGCAACTCACCAACTAAGTCCAACCTTTCATTTCTAAAATCATTACACTGCTCATCAGCATCTCCAATAGTTGCTAATAATACTATTCATGCTGTTGTCGCAGCCATCAAGATCAATCATCTCAGAAATGAGGTCGTGTTTGTGGCGATTGTGGAGTTGCGGATGCAGTGATTAGAAAGTCGTCTGATTGTGACTTCCCTTGTCGGAGCTTGATAGGGGTCAGCTATTCATTGTGATTTTTAGACAACCTACAGAACCCCCTCCAAAGTTTTCGAAAGTTCGCGGTTGACTGGGACAAATTTTCGAAATACTTTAGATCCCAAAATTTAGTGGATTGATTGCTCCCTCCGTCTGATCGAGCCAGATGATTTCACCGTTGTTGGTTGTAATCTATCTGTACTCCTCCAATAGACTCCTAGTGGAGTCGTTTGTTTCTTCCCGGCTTTGGTCGCCTTGACGATTGCTGTTAACTCTTCTTTTATTCATCTGGGGCTGTGTCGTAGCCTTGGTAGTCAAGAAGCTGCTATCATAGCGGTCCAAACACAAAGATAATTTCTGCTTTTGAGGATTGGAACGCGTGGGTGAGCCTCGAGTTGGAGAAGTTGAACGCGCGCGTAGGTGAGCATCGCATTTGGAAGCTCAAACAACTCGAACGCGAGGGTCGAGTTTGGGCGGGCTGATGGCCTCGAATCCCGTCCGTTACGATTTGACAGCTCATAGCTGTCTATAAATAGACCGCTAGAGGTCAAATCAAGAGTCATTTGATTCTTCTTGAAACTTTTAACGAAAAAATTTCGTTCTCATTTCCGACGAACACTGCTCATCTCCTCCGACGAGATTCTATGGCACCCAAGAAACCAGTTGCTTCCAAATTTGATGCCGCTGCGGCTCGAAGATCTGCACCGTCAGCGCCGGCCGGTGGCGCTGCTGCTCTGGCGAATATGCCGCCCCAGCTTTCTTTGATTGGCGGTGAGTACGACCTTCGTGGTCGTTAAACTTGCTTCGGTGAGTTCTGATCTTGAGATCAACGAGGAAACTCGTTTCAATAACGCGGGGCTGGACTTTGTCGTTTGGTATTTTTGATGAGGGGTTCAATCCCCACGTCTCAGATTCTTGACGCGGGGGTCGACCTGCGCGTCTGAGATTTTTGACGCGGGGTTCGTTCTTCGCGTCCAAGCTTATCTGACGCGGGGTTCGACCTTCGCGTCTGAACTTATCTGACGCGGGGTTCGACCCTCTGCGTCAGAACTTATCTGACGGGGTTCGACCGCTACGTCTGAAGTTTGCTTTTGAGTTGTCTAACATTTTCTTTTTGCAAGTGCGCCATACCAGTGGACCTTCTTCTTTTTTGCGCCACCATTTTGGACATGAAGGTGGTGCGAATGAACATGGCCTTCAGCTCACGCAAAACTCCCCGTTTTCGCGAATTAGGGAGAAGAGTCGGCGTAGAAATAATTACCAAGCTCTTCCGGACAACTCTAGGACATTGGTTACGGACTGCTCCGACTTGAGCCCACGCCGTAAGCCAATAGTCAAACCTGGATATCTTTTCGGGGACTTTGTTGACTTTGACGCAAGCACTGCTTATGATGGGGACTATAAGTGGTTGCGGAAAGTTGGGGACCGCAACCTTTTCTTGCCCAATATGGAGAGGATGTTCCCCATATCTTATTTCCAGTGTGCTTCTGTCCCAAGGCACATGGATTGGCCCCTGGTTAAGGATCAAGATGGGGTTGCTCTCGGGACTTTGACTTTTCACGGGGTCCGCATAGTTGGTTATAACCGGCAGGTGACAGCTTTGCGGCCGAGTTTATTTGCTAAGGAGTATCCCCTTGGCGAAGTGCCCAGCCCGGCGAAGACCTTTGTTAAGAGGTTTTTGGAAAAGAAAGGAGAATTCCCCGCACAAGGATTTAGAGCTCCTGGTTGGGTTCATTCTCCAGTGACAGGGTGGTGGGCCCAGATGACCAAGTTTGTTATGGAGGAATTGGAAACCCCTCTTGCCCAAGCTGGATTACTGGTTCCAGTGCGGGCTACTAAGTTTGGGATTATTCAGAGCCACTTTCACTTCTTCTCTATATTGGAGAAGTATAGTCCCGAGACTTGCACTTTCTTCACCCCTGTGGGGGAGTTAGGCTTCGCTCTTCACGAGATGCACGAAGTCTCAGGTCTTATTCTCGGGGATTTACCCTATGAAGAATTTGTTCCGGGATCTGCGGAACTTAAACTTTTGAAGAAGACCAGCCCAGAAATTTACGCCACTCTCTGGGAAGTGATGTGTCACTTCCATATCTGCATGCAGCTGACGGGGGCTCGCGGAAGCGGCATCAAACAAGTGTCTTGGGTGGAATATTTATTCCGGAACTTGACCATTAAAGGAGGCTCTGTGACCCGATTGCCTGTCAGTACTTTGGAAGAGGTTCAGGCTCGTATTGACGACGCTACCTCCCATTACACCAATGAGTCCAAGGAGGATGTTTTCCCAGCTCATACAGAGTTTGAAATCTTCCATTATCAAGCTCTGATTCTAATTTCCGACGCGGCATTGCTGGCTGGATTCTTGATGCTGTGGCTCAAGCATTGCGTCGTTCCTACCAGGCTGGTCGATGCCCTTGCTATTGAGGTGGTTTACCCGGCTGTTCTCTTGGCACATGGGAGACCTGTGAGCCTCCTCAGCTCCATGGTGGGTTGCTTACAGTATGGACTGCGGGAGTTGGCCTCTGACTTTGTTGGTGTTACAGAGGTGGAGTCTGAGGGTCACAAGACTTTCAAAACTCCCAATCCCAGGGTACCAATGCCATATGCCTATTTGATGGCTTGGTACGTGCTTCACTGTCCTCCTTTGATGAGTGCAGCCTCTCCCTCGGAGACTCATTCATCCTATTTGTGCAGCGACTAG